GTTTTTCGAGACAGGGTTTCTCTGCGTAGCTTTGCGCCTTTCCTGGAGCTCACTTGGTAGTCCAGGCTGGCCTCTAACTCACAGAGATTCGCCTGGCTCTGCCTCCCGAGTGCTGGGACAAATCTTTGTGTGGGTGTGGGTGTGGGTGTGGGTGTGGGTGTGTGTGTGTGTGTGTATGCACGCATGTGTGTATGAAGTTAGAGAACCCCTTTCAAAGGTAGATTATTTCCTCTGACATGGGTTCTGGAGATGGAGTGCGGGTTGTTGATCATGGTGCTTTGGTTTTGTCCCCACCCTATCTGTTATACTCTGGCCAAAATTATTACCTAGAGAAAACTCTTCAGTATGCTTTATCTTCATGTAGTTAGAAATGAGTTTTGCTTTCCTGCAGTGAGTTTGAAATGAGTTGTAGTTTTTGAGCCTAGTGCTGACTCTTGACATCTTAGTTTTGACAGGTCTTCAAATTCTATAAGAAAGAATGTATGGATTATGTCAGTCTTATTTTTTGTGTTCAGATATATCCTTCGGAGTTTGGAAAGGAGAGGATGAAGGAAGAGCAAGTTCAAGGACCAGTAGAGTTACTGAGTATTCCTGAGGATGCCCCCGAGAAAGACTGGTACTGAGTCACTCTAGAATATAAAACTAATCCTAGTAAAGTCACGTACTTCACTCGGAATTCTATTACCTTAATAGGACTGAAGTTTGCACTTAATACTAACAGATAGGATTCAGACAGCTTGATAACTGACTATAGTTGGTGGCGCATTATGCCAGCATTTTGTGTGTATGCTTGGAAATAATGATTGCAGTATTTGAAAAAAAAAAAAGCAGTTCATAATTATCTTCATTGCTATGAATTAGTGTTGTTTTTATCTTCATATTATATTTTTGAGTATTAAATAGGAAAATAAAGGAATAAAACATGGTTTTATGTTACAGAAAACAACTTAGGAAGTTGTAAACCACTAGGTGGAGCTGCATGTGCACTTAATAAAAACGGTGGTTAACTGGATGGTAACGAAAGTGGCAGAGGAACAGAGGATAGTTAAGTGAAATTAAACTTTTAAAGTTCAGATGCTGGCCAGTGAGATAGCTATGGGTAAAGGTGCTTACCCTCTAGTCTGACAACCTAGGGATCAGAATTCAATCCCCAGAACCCACATGGTAGAAAGAGGAAACCAACTTTTGAAAAAGTTGTTTTCTGACCTTGTAATGGAGAGATTTCTTTGTTCTTGTGTACATATGTTGGATTTAGTTTTTCCCCATTAGGTCCTCTAGAGAGAAGCTAAGAGACTATCAGTTTAAACGATTGAAATACTATTATGCAGTAGTGGAATGTGATTCTCCAGAAACTGCAAGTAAGATTTATGAAGATTGTGATGGCCTGGAATTTGAAAGCAGTTGTTCTTTCATAGACCTAAGGTAATTCAGTTCATGTCTTAACCACTGAATCCTACAAGATCATAATGCAGTAATATTTGAATGCGCAGTACTCACTTACATTCTAGAAAATGAACAAGAAAAAGCTAATAATAATTGAAGAAAAAGTAATTTAAAAACCATTTTATTATTTATGTCCTTGAAATAATAATTCTTTCAAAAAACATTTTTAAGATTTTTTTTAATTTATTTATTTTTACTTCATGTGCATGAGACCCCTAGAATTGGAGTTGCACATGGTTGTGAGCCGCCAGGTGGGTGCTAGAATTCAAACCTAGATCCTCTGCATGAGCCAGCAGGTGTTTTTAACTGCTGAGCCATCTCTCCACCACCTCTCCCAATAATTCTTGATACAATATATAGTAGATGCATTTTATATGTATGTGGAAATAATCTCCTATGTAAATTATAAAAACATGGTTATAATAATCAGATATTTACCTCTACTTTTCATCCCACATTCCCTAGCCTGATACCTAAAAATTGTCAGTCACCATGGCTGATTTACCTGTAAGGAATAGTTATTTGTAAAATGAAATTTTTGGCTAAGATTATTCTTAATCAGCCTTAAATTTTTCTTTATTTTCAATGACTTTTCACGATTATGTGCTATGTATTGAGACCACTTACCCAGTATTAATTCTGTTTGATCTTTGAACTTAAAGTGAGTCAATGACTGTGTTATTGCATTGGGTCTTTGGAAGCTAGTTTATATTAACTAGTTCCTAATGCAAAGTCTATATAGAATTCTCTCAAACTTAATGAAATTTTAGATTTATAGTTTACAAATTTCAGAGATGTGCCAAGATTGTTTCTGGCCTTTTAGAAATTTTTACATTTGTTTTCTATAGAAATTTTTGTATAGTATATAAACTATAACTAATTAGAAAATCTAGATGCTGGTATTAACTGCTTTTTTTTTTTTTAAGGTTTATACCAGATGATATTACTTTTGATGATGAGCCCAAGGACGTGGCCTTAGAAGTTGATCTAACAGCATATAAACCAAAGTATTTCACATCTGCTGCAATGGGAACATCGACGGTATTTATTTGTTTATTTATTTGATGTACACTGATGTTTTGCCTATATATATTCTGTTTGGGGGTGTCAGATCCCCTGGAACTGGGAGTTACAGACAGTTGTGAGCTGCCATGTGGGTGCTGGGAATTTAACCCAGGTCCTCTGGAAGAGCAGCCAGTGCACTTAACTGCTAAGCCATTTCTCCAGCTCCTCAATGGTATTTCTTAACTCTTAAAAATGTGTAGATGAGCCAAGCATGGTGACACATGCCTGTAGTCCCAGCACGTGGGAAGTTGAGCAGGGGTACCAGGAACTCAAGAGTCAGCCTTAGATACATGAGACCCTATATTTAAAAAAAGAAAAAAAATTAAATGTATACCTAGACTCTTGCTTTTAGCAACTTTACAATTAGATGGTATTCTGAATGTTTGTGCATAGGATACTATAATGTTTGAACATATTTTTCATAGTGTCTTTTTGTCTTTAAGCCTGAGTCAGTCTGCTAATGTTTTATGTTGTTTGTTTGTTTCCCTCTATTATTTTACCCATATACTTTGAACTAGATTCTTTGTACCCAAGGATGTATTTCAGTGGTAGAACATTTATCTAGCACATATGGAAGTCCAGCGTTTTATCTTAGATTTTTTTAATAGGTAGTGTGTCAGTTATTAAGATCCTAGGGAATAGGAAGGACATAGCTTTACTTCAAATGACAGCTACACAGAATTGTTGACCATTTGAAATAGGAGCACATTTTTCAGCAGATGTGATTTTAAAAGTTTTGTAAACAACCGAAGTAGAATAATTCATTACTACTAGTTTTCATATTAATAACAAGTAGCCACATTTCTGTGTGTTACAGTAGTTTGTTACATACCTAATGGCTTCTCTTTCACCCTAAATCTCTGCCTACAGCAAACTGTGTGATAGACTATTGTGCTTGTCCAAGAAAGCTGGTGTCAGATATCTGCTTCCTGCTGTGCTGTGAGAGGGTATTCTGGTATTGATTAGTTACAAAGGATAGTAAGACCCCAGAGTAAGTGAATTCTAAAAGATAGAGCCACATCATGTTATTTTCAACACTTAAGCACTTACAGTAGGCAGCATGTGTAGCCAGCTCATCTGGAGATTCTGCATCCTGATCTGTATCACCAATACCTGTTTTCCTTACAGCAGCCATTTGGTCATTATCAACACACAGACAGTTTTCCGAGTAGCCAGTCCTGTGACGGGCTAGACCGTCTAGGATATTTTAAGGATCTCGTGGTTAATTAGTACTTAGCTTGTTATCTTAATGTGGAGAAATTGGACTGAACAGAAAAGGCAAGGCCTTGAACTCATTGTGCTGTAAACATAAAACCCTTTCAGAAGGAACCTTTCACAAGGTACTGGATAAAGCAGTGGTTTGCAACTCCTTTGAACAACTCTTTTACCAGTTTCCCTAGGACCATTGGAAAACACAGATATTTACATTACAGTTCGAAACAGTAGCAACATTACAGTTACGAAGTAGCAGTGAGAATAATTTTATGGTTGTGGTCACCACAACACGAGGAACTGTGTTACAGGGTCACAGCATTAGGAAGGTTGAGAATATAGGATAGGAGCCAGTCTCCCTCAGTCATGTTATCAATGAACGTACTTGCTGTACAGCTGTGCTGTACTTATGATCATGAAAGCCTTTGTCATCAGTGACTCAATCTTTTTAGGAAAATGGCACCTTTTGAGATTATGTTGCTTATTAATAGATTTCATGTAGTCTATGGCTCAACTGTCATTTTAGTTCTCTAGAAGAAAATCATGTTCTCACTGGTTTATAATAGTATTAACTTTTTCTAACATATTTCTTTTTTTTCTATCATAGTTAATCTGTTTCATAATATATTAGGTAATGGACTATCATTCATGTAGCTGAGAATTAGGGGGAAAGTAAAAGTGGACATACATGATTCTCTGTCCACAAATAGGATACCATTTATTTATTCCTGCCATTCTTTTTTTTTTTTTTTTTTAAATGTGTCCATGTCTGAACTTTTTATGTGCATTGTAACTTTTGGTAGGGGAGAGAGGTAGGGGGGGTCTCACTATGTAGCTTTGGCTGGCCAGGAACTGTCATGTAGACCATGCGGGCCTCATACTCACAGAGATCTACCTCTGCTTTCAAATACCTCTGGGATTAAAAGTATGCACCACCATGCCTAGTATGCTTTTTAGCTTAATACTAAACATCTAAGTTAACAGTGTACTTCAGTAAGTATGAGTTTACCTTTGGGCTTTTGTGTGGTGTTTAATTTTCATTCTTTGGTTCAAGGTGGAGATTACTTGGGATGAGACTGATCATGAAAGAATCACAACACTTAACAGAAAGTTTAAAAAGGAGGAGCTTTTGGACATGGACTTCCAGGCCTACTTAGCTTCCTCCAGTGAGGATGAGGAGGAAGAGGAAGAAGCACTGCAAGGTACTTGCTAATCCTTTTATTGGGTGGTTAATGGAGCTGTGTCTTGGGCAAAACTTAAAAAGATCCCCAAACTGACTGCATAGCATACTTATATACATAGAATTATATGCATGTATATGCATAGATACATGTTTGAAGGATTGGCAAGATGCTCATTGGATGAAAGCACTTGCTGTACAAACCTAATGACTTGACTTTGATCCCTGGAACCCAAGATAGAAAGAGAACTGACTCACCAAAAGTTGTCCTCTGACCATCACATGCGTGCTTTGGCATAGTCATGTCCACCTTCCTGCACACACACACACACACACACACACACACACACACACACCACAAATAGTTAAGATAAATAAAAATTTTTTAAAATCCTAAATACTTTACTAGGCTAATTTTCTATAGCCACAAAATTTATTTAAACTCTGGCTTAGTAAAAATGCCTAGCCTGTTAGACTTGTAAACATGTAAAATACTGTTTCTCCCCACACACCTTAATTAGTTTTGAGACAATCTTTCTATGTAGACTAGGCTTATCTTGAAGTCACAGATCACAGAGATCCACCTGCCTCTGCCTCCCAAGGTCTGTGATTAGATTATAAGCATGGGCCATCACATCCAGTTTTTGCAGTGCTAGGGACTGAACTCAGGTTATTGTAAATGCTAGGCAAGGACTCAACTAACTGAGATACATCCCCAACCCCACTATAGTAATCCTAAATAACTTTTGTACTTTATTGTGTAACACTGTCTTGTACTGCCCTTCCTTGTTTTACATTTCCCTGGCTTCCATTGCTCTTTCTTTCTAAATCTCTTTCCTTCAACTTTAAGTATTTATTTAAGAAATCCTTTCACTAAGAACCAGCTACTGTCAAAACTCTCCTGATATTTGGTTTGTATGAAAAGACCAGAAAATTTTGCTTTTGCTTGCAAAGGATTCTAAAATTGGATTTCCAAAGACTTCCCTGTATCCACACTGATAATAACACCCCATTGACTTCTGACTTGATTGGTGTTTATGAAAGTTATCTGGAGATTTTCTTTATTCTAAGAGTGGATTTTTTTATATATGTATTGAGCTTGGGATTTTTTTGGGTCCATTTAATTCACAGTGGTATCTTTTTTCAGTATTGATGTTCTCAGTCACTTGATTTTTCTCCTGTTCTTCTAGAACTCTATTTAAGTATGCATTAAATCTTTCCACTGTATCTTCTCTTTAGATGTTTTTGATTTAGGGCTTTGTGTGTACTAGGCAAGCACTCTACCACTGAGCTAAATCCCCAATACATTCTCTTACATTTTTATCATTTCCCCCTGTACTTCATTCTGGATATTTCCTTTTGTTTACACATTTTCTAGTTTGAAAGTGTCTTTTCAGCAGTGTTCATTCTACTAATATACCAACCCACTGAATTCTTTATCTTGGTTGTTATCAACTTCACTTCTAGCAGTCCTGTGTGCCTATTTGTCACATCATCAATGCACTTTTTGGTAGTTTGATATTTGTCTGGTACTCCCTCTGGATCTCTGCTTAATTCCAGGGGACTAGTTGAACTTCCTCCTCTTGTGGATTTTCACTTGTGTCCTTTTGATTCTTAATAGTCTTCCAATTGAGTTCACAGCTGTGGATCAGGAACTAGGAAGTGCTTAGAAATAATATAAAACACTTGGGATCATCCTTGTGGTATTCCATTCTCTATTCTTGATTTTGACATGATAATTCTTCATTAACTTGTCAGTCCTTTCAGACTTCAATTTCATTTTGTAATCCCTTTGAAACTTATAGAAAGACTTTAAAAATAACATATCCAGCTGGGCGATGGTGGTGTATGCCTTTAATCCCAGCACTCAGGAGGCAGAGACAGCTGGAGCTCTATGAGTTCAATGCCAGCCTGGTCTACAAAGCAAGTTCCAGGACAGTCTGAGCTGTTACACAAAGAAATCCTGTAGATATGTAGGTAGGTAGGTAGAAAGATAGAGATAGATGGTATCCAACTAAGCAATAATTATCAGGTCTATCTTTGTTTAAAAAATTTTGATGACTGAAATGATTGTGTGTTTGTTAAATTGATCATGCTATTTGCTTAGAAATAACTAATGTTATAAAATACAGTACCAGTTTTTTTCCATTTAGTTATTTGGTGATTTCTTGTGAGTCGTGTTTGTGTGTGTGTGTGTGTGTGTGTGTGTGTGTGTGTGTGTGTGTGTGTGTGTGTGTGTATGCATATGTGCTGTGGAGACCAGAGGTCACCATCTTGTATCTTTGTTTATTTTTAAACACAGGGTCTTTTCCTCTCTGAGTGAACATGGAGCTGACAAATTGGCTAAGCTGGCTAACCACTGAACTTCAAATCCGTTTGTCTCCATTCCTCAAGTGCTGGGGTTGGAGACTTGCCTAGCTTTTACTTAAGTTCTGGGGACTCAAACTCAGGCCTTTATACTTTCATAACAGACACTCCACCAACTGAGCCTCAGCCCAGTAAAGTATTATCAGTGCAGTCTGAGATTTTTCCATGTATTTGTTTGTTTTGGTGGTTCAAGGGATTCAACTGAGCTACGCTAGCTGTAGCCCTTAAGCTTTGAATGATAGTATTTGCCATTACATCTGTGTTATTCTTATCTAACAGAATTGCCAAGCATTAAAAAATACAAGTTCAGTGCTGACAGAAAATGAGAAACCAGAAAAGTTAAACATAGATATAAGTATTTTAAATCAGCCAGAAAGAACATCTTTATTTATAGTTTAAATTTTTCCTTAGTGTTTTCCTTTTACATGATGTAGTATTTCTATAACCTAGTGGCATATGAAATAATAAATACTTTTATAATTTTAACATAAGGTTATTAAGCCTTGACTTTCTTAGTTTCTGAATGGTCTGTTGTTTGTTTTTATGTCACTAAAAGTAGTGCTTTTAAGTTTGCCATAAAATGCTATTTTGCAGTATTAATGTAAGAGAAGGAAAATAGTATTTAATAGCTTCTGTTTATTTGTATACATTATATATTGATAAAATCATGTAATTGCTGGAGTGTTTCATCCTCTTTGAAAATGTATAGTTTTCCAGCTAGTGAGATGGTTCAGTAGGTGTTGCCAAGCCCAATGGTCTGAGTTTGATCCCTAGAACCCACCCACATAGTAGAAAAGAACCAACTCCTCAAAGTTCTCATGGCACATGCATTCACCCAATAAATAAATGTAATGAAAGCTTAATAAAGAACGTATGTAATTTACAGTGGTGCATATTGGTTATGAAAGACTTTACATTTTAAGGTCTCAGTGACTGGTACTTGTTAATCTTCCTCATGAATTTGAATGTTTTATTTCTTAGTGTACATGGCATAGCCTTCTCATAGACCTTTTGTATCTTTCCCCTGTAAATAAGAAGAATGAATTTTGTCTTCGTCTACCATAAGTATGGGAAAGGTAAATTTATTTGCTTATGTGGATATTATGTGCTTTTCTGATAATTCTCGATAGTTTTCCTTTGCTATAGTTCTAAAATACAGAGGAAAATAATATTCCATGCCCATTGGGGAACACTAGGTCCATGTTTTTCAAATGGCTTTGGAAAATGGAACTAAATTTTATTGTTTTGTGTGTGTGTGTGTGTGTGTGTGTGTGTGTGTGTGTGTGTGTGTGTGTATGTGTTGCATGTAGAAATCAGAGGACAACTTGTAAAAATCAGTTGTTTCTTCCTACAGTATGAGTCCTGGGGATCAAAATCATGTCAGCAGGCTTGGCAGCAGGCATCTTTCTTCTCTGAGCCATTGCACTCATCCTGGAATTATTTTATTTTACTTATATGGGTGTTTCACCTGTATGTCTGTGCGCTGTTTGAATACCCCTGGTGCTGGTAAAGGCCAGAAGAGGGTGTCAGATCCCCCTGGGACTTGAGTTATGGATGGTTGGTAAGCTGCCTGTGGGTACAGGAAATTGAATGAACCCAGGTCCTTTAGAAGAGCAGCCAGTGCTCTTACGCGCTGAGCCATCTCTCCACCCACCTAACCCCATTTAAATTTTAAAGCAATATTGTTAACAATAGGACACCTAATATTATTGGTAAGTAAGCATTAATATTCCAATATATTTAATATGTTAGACTCATTGGGGCTATAGCTCAATGGTATAGTGTTTGCCAAGCTTCATAAAACCCTATGTTGAACCTTTAGGATTGTAAAATAGGGGGGAAAAAAACAACACAGAAAACAAACTTAGACCCTGCTGGTTTCATATCTGGACTTAACCACATAGTGAACACACAGATCAAGTTTTCTTAACGCCCTGTTCCTTTTTTTGTGTAGCTGTGAAACAAGAATTATAATAATACCTGGCTCATAGATAGAAATGATGTATATAAAGTATTTAGCATAGTACCTTGTATCAGGTATTTTAATTTTAATTCTTAAAACTAAAGATTAATTTCTTTCAGTTTGAAATATAGTAATTATGATTTTTTTCAAAAGCATTCCTTTTTCTTCAGTATTTTAATTGATTACAAACACACCTTAATCTGTAATTTAGTGCCTCAGACTAGTAAATTTGGATACTAAACATTCCTGATAGTTGTTTATAGAGTAGCTCACTGTTTGAATTTATTTTTAAAAATCTTATGTACTATTAAGGCGTTCATAATATTGTCCTTGAATTAGGAAAACAGACCTACATGAGTTATCCCACATTTTAGAGCTTCAGAAAGTACAATTTTAGTACTGGAAAAAATCAATTTAAAGTAAGCCATCAGAGACTTACCACTAATATTTCAACCTGGAAGGAGCTTGCTTCTAATTATGTTTTCAGAAGTAAGCTTTTAATAGAATGAAATACATTGCCATTTTGTTAATGTGTTCCTCATGTTTTATCCATTGAATTACGGGATACATGACAAAATTCCATCCAACATTATTATTGTGGCACAAAGCACAAACAGCAAAAAAATGAGCTTCAGCTGTTTGAGTGAAAATATAAAAGTGTGATAGGATGATGGAAAGAATGCCCACAGCCGTTTTTATTCACTTAGAGAGAAAAAATAACTTTTAAATATTTGCTTAACCAACTTTTTTTTTCCTTTCGAAAATCACTTTTTTTTTTAAGAGATTTAAGAACAAGGTGTTAACACTGATGTTTTACAGCTCCATGCTTTTATCACAGTTTTGATGACTATAAGTTACAAAAACAGGAATATCACTGTATCACTTCCAAATTTTCCTCCACTGGCAATGTTTAATGAATTTGATAAGTTTGTGTGTTTTACATTAAAACCCAGATTTCTTATTTATGTTACTGACTTGAAGAATTTACAATGAAACTGTAAAAAAACAACTTTATGGTTTGATTTTCTCTGATGTTTGTTGCCCAGGGGTTTTATACTGTTTCTTCGCATTTAAATTTTTTGTAAAACTAGAATTCAGAAATATCAATCGTCTTCTCACATAGTGAAAGTAGTTGAATTAGCTCGTAGTCTTTTTGTCTTTGTCATTGATTGGTGAACAATATTCTAAGAATATATGTGCTTATTCACAATCAAATGGAAGGACTTCATAGGCTCGGGTTTACCTTCTAAACAACTTCCTTTCCTCTTCTGTGTGGCCTGAGAAGCTAATCCCATGTGTCAGATTCACACCAGCAGCATTCAGACTCCATTTATTGAACAGAACATTTAGAGGGGACTAAAATGTCAAACTTAGTGCTCTTGCAGTTTGCATAGAAGGGATTATTGTGTAGTACTCTGACAATGCTATTATTAAATTTCATTGTCTCTGAGTTTTACTGAGTACAAGACCAGTCTTTGTTTTCATATTCACAAGTTGAAGTCTGATTTAATGTTCTGTGATTGCAGTATTTCTTTGACAACAGTTTTTAGCCATGTACTGAAGAGACCATGAGACCTAAACACTGAAGTTGGAAGGTAATTGTTTCTCTCTGTCAAATGACATTGATTAATTTCGTTTTTGTTTTGTTTTATTTAGATGAGGATGGAGTCAGTGTAGGAGAAGATGGAAAAACAAAGAAAAATCAAAAGGATGATGAAGAACAAATTGCTAAATATAGACAGCTTTTGCAATTTGTTCAAGAAAAAGAAAGAAAAGGAAAAGAAAATGATATGGAAATGGAAATCAAGTGGGTTCCAGGTAAGAATTAGATATTAAGTAAAAGTTTTCTTCTGAATGCATTTAGATGTAATTACAAAGATGCTAATACTTCTTTAGAAGCATACTTTTTTTATAAGTTCTATTTTCCAGAAATGTATTGATAAGGAAATGGTATTTAATTCACCTCAGAATTAATGTTTTATGCTCTTTTTCCTTTTTTATTTTAAATTTTCTCATATATTTTCATTATATTCTTTCCCTTCTCCCTACTCCTCCCAAATCTTCCCCACCTCCCTACCCATTCAGCTTCATGTTCTTTCTCAGAAAAAGGAAAAACAATTATTAAAAAAAAGAAAAGAAAAGAAAATCAAAACAAACTAAAAAGAAAACATATATGACCAAAAGAAATGAAACAATGCACAAAATGGAAAACAAACCATGGCGTCTGTTTTGTCCTGGCCGACTACTTCTGAGCAGGGGGCCTGCACTAGCATGAGGTGATCTAGCTAGTGTCGTTCCGTTACAGAAACTGATTTTCCCTCTCCTAGTAGGTGTCAATTGCAAATATCTTCTTGGTTAGGGATAGGACTGTGTCTACTTCCCCTTCTCATTTTGTCTGACGTGAACCCGTGCAGGTCTTGCACATGCCATCCAGTCTCTACAAACTCCTGTGTGTGTCAGTCCTGTTGTGCCTGGGCATGCTGGAGTTTCTCTGGAGTCGTCCCCTCTGGCTCTTACAATTGTTCTAACTCCTCTTCCCATAGATCCTTTGGGGAGGCCAGGAGTGGGGTGGGGAATGGGGGTGGTTATACACTTTCCAGCTTACATTTGTCTTAGTTTCTTGGTTTTACTAAGTACAGATTATTCCTGTTCAGTTATAAAAATAGACCTTTCCTAAGTTTGATTCCTCAATTTAGAATATAGAAAATTGAAACCAAGTATCATGTTTTCTAGTTATTACAATTCTTTAAAAAAAAAGAAAAAAAAACACTATAATTCTCAAGTGATCCCTTTTCCTGTAGCCTTACTGTTTTCTTCTTTCCTTTCTTTTTTCTCCCCCTTGCCCCTCCCCCCCCC